GTCGGCCTGACATGCGAGGGTACGCCTGTGCTGGTTTCGCGCCATGGCGGCGCGTCCCAACTCGTCTTGACAGGAGCTGGGTCGGATTCGGGCGAGTGGGTCCTTTGCGAAAGGGGTCTCAAACATGTGCACCAGAGTTCGTGCAAGCGTTCGTGCGGGATGCGCCGGTCGTGCAGTAAGAGCACGTGGCTGCAGCGCGCCATGCGCCACAGGACGAGTTATTGCACGTAATCTTTGGGACACCACTGCGAAAGACCCCCTTTGCCCAGAACCAGGTGGGGGCATCAGGGACACCCAGGATCGAGGGAGGTGGATGACGGACGGGCCAGCGGTGATATACATTCGGGGGGTGATAGGCCTCCTACCCTGACAAGTCGATTAGCGAATTGGCCGTTTTCGGTTCGCGAGAGGGCGTCGCGGCCTTCATTTTTGCGGGTGCAGGTCCGTCGATTTCGGTCCCAGGCCGTTTTCGCTAAAGGGTGGTTTGCAAAAGGGAGGTCTGTCCACCGCCGATACATGAACGGGGGGGGGCGAGCCAACCAGCTCCTCAGCGGCCTCCCGCCGCCGTGGGGCGCGCGGCGGAGGCGTCCGAGCAGGGCGTCTCCGTGCGGCTCCTGCGGAGGTGAGCCGACACTGGCGGGCTGGCGAAGTTCAGAAGTCTCAGGTTGCAAAGCCTCAGCATGGAATATTGAGTGGACTTCGAAAGTCCGCGGCGGAATAAGCGAGCCGTGTGTGCGCGAAGACAGCAGCTTCGAACTTCGAAGCGAATCTGTAAGCTACGCATGCTTCGGAGTGGTCGTCGAATCACCTCGGGCCATCATGCTGGCGGGTCCACGGCATGCTTCACCGCGTGCAGAGTGCAGAGCGCATGCTTCACCGCATGCTTTACCGCGAACCCTCGACTTCAAGTCGAGGGTTCGCGGTCGAGCTCCGCTGAGGTTCAGGTCGAATGAGTGTTGCTTGGCGTCGGGCTCCGAGGCCTGCTCAGAATCCTGTCTTCAAATTGGACTTCAAGCGCGGTAGTCAGCGCGACCTCTCGGTTCGCACGTTTCAGAAGCTTCTCAGGAACAGGATCCGAGACGGATCCCTACGAGCGGCTTGGATAGGCTTGCCTTGCAAAAGTTTCAGTACTGCCCGCAATCGGCCACGACTACATGTTCGCGGTGCTGGAACACATCGGGTTTCCTCCTTGCCCCCTCAACGCCCTCAAGGCTTTCTACAGCCACGTCAAGTGCACCCTGCAGTTTAAGGGGTCCACCTACGAGGCATTCGACGTCGCGGCGGGCATCCGCCAGGGCTGCCCCTTGTCTCCCTTGCTTTTTGCGGTTACGGTGGATATCCTACTCCGGCGGCTGGAACGCAAGGTTCCCGACTTGGCGGCCAGAGCATTTGCAGATGATGTCGGAGCTGTCTCCCAGAACTGGCTGCGAGACGCGGGAGCCGTCCACCACATCTTCGCAGAGTTCGGACGCATATCCGGCCTCGACCTGAACCTTCCCAAGACGCTGATCATCCCCCTCTGGGACTCTGCACGCCCGAGATGGGCACTGAAAGAATGGGCACGATGCCCAACAGCAGTTCCTGTTCATTCTGAACAGGACTCGCTGTCCACGCCGCCGCGGCCTGTGTCCATTCGAGACAGAGGGCCGCCTGTCCAACAGCGGCCGCTGTTGGTTTGGGACAACATTTGTTGTTGGGCATAGTGCCCATTCTTTCCGTACCCATTTCGGGCGTCCAAAGGGACGAGGAGCTGGACATCGCCAAGGCTCGGATCCTCGCGGCCTGCTCAGACTGGGCCCCTGTCTCTTTCGGCTATCACGGCGTCTACCTGGGTTTCGCCGTGGGCCCGCGCAAGGGCGATTCTTCCTGGGACAAGGCGCTTAAGAAGCACGCCGAAAGGGCGGCGACCTGGGCGAATGTTCACCAGGGGCTCCACATCGGCATCTTCGCGTACAACGTGTGTGCGGTCTCTGTTCTTCCCTTCCTCGCCCAGCTGGAGAATCCTCCCCCGCGGGTGCGCGCGCTCGAAACGGCGACGCTCCGCAAGGTCGCCCCCGGCCCTGGCAACTGGGCTTCTAAGGAGGACATGTGGTACCTTCGGGAGGGCTATGGGCAGGCCAAATCGTGCGTTTCGATTGAGCTAATGGCCCAGGCGGCCCAGCTCCGAGTTGCTCATCATGAATCGTGGACTGCTTCGGGGGGCTCCTTGGGCACCCGGGCTAGGCGAATGGAAGGGCTGATCGGGGCGCCCTCCTTCCTGCAGAGGCGATTTCGTTGGAATGATTGGTATTCGAGGTCGTACGTTGTTCTGCTTTACCGGAACCGGCTCTCCATGAGTGCCAGGGGCATCACATTCGACACCATCGCGTCCAACATCAAGCTCGCATTCCCAAGCGTAGAAGACGGGCCAAAGATGGAGCGAAGGGTGCGCAATGGCTTCCAGTGTGAGGCCTACAAGCTTCTTAAGGCGAAGGGCCAACCTGATTTCGTCGGGCGGATCCGCCACAAGACGGCCAGGTGGCATCTGTCGGGCCCGCCGGCACGCTCGGCCGCCCGTGTGGCACGCCATGTTCAACGCCTTCCTGGCTTGGTTGCACCTCGTGTTCAAGCCGCATGTTTGTCAACGTTGTGGAATAGATGGTGCACGCCACGTCGTTTCCAGAATCGGGCCTCCCCCACGAACCGGTGTTTGCTGGGCTGCCCAGGCCATGCGGAGGATTCGATCGAGCACTATATATTTTGCAGGTGCGTGCGACGGGTCGCCGATAACTTCCTCAACATGCGCCGCATTACGCCCTTCACAGTTGACCATTTTATGCTGGCGCACCAGGTGTTCTCGGAGGACGCGGAGGCCTCGACTTGCATGGCAGTCCTCCTGTACGCCGTGTATAATACGACCAACCAATACAGACCGCTCGGCGGAGCATCGGAGAACACAGCGTTCGAGGCCATCAAGCAGCAGTGTCGCAACGCCGTGGCGGGGCACAGCGCCAGCATGAGGATCGTGGATTCGCTCTGGGCTGAGCGGCCCCGGATCCGCCCCCGCAGGTAGACTCCTATTTGTTTCCCTCGTCCCATTTTCCCTCGCTTCCTCTCCTTCTGGTTCGTCTGTTGTGCTCCAGCGTGGTACGGCGACCGCAGCCTTGCCTACCCTCTGCGGGGTAGGGCCCGCTGTGCCTCCAGGCCAGCTTCCTTCGATTTGTTTTAGTTGCCCCGTCTCCCGCAGTAGGTGAGGAAGACAGCGGCTTTCAAATGCAACCGTCTTCTCGCTCGTTTTTTTCTCCTCCTCCTCCTCCTCCTCCTCCTCCTCCTCCTCCTCCTCCTCCTCTTCCTCCTCCTCCTCCTCTCTCCAGCGTGCTCCTGATTCGCTCCGCCGGAGCACGTTCCAACGTGCTCCGGAAACGCCCCGCCGGAGCACGTTGGCTTCGGTGCCCTTTTCTAGTCGGCTCGCATAAAACTGTATATACATATCTCTAGTGTAGCTTGATGAATCGCTCTTGCATTGAGTCTATGAAGAGGGGGAAAAACAAAAAAACAATATATATATATATATATATATATATATGCATATATATATATGTATGTATATGTCTATGTATATATATATATATATATATATATATTGCCCGCAATCGGCCCAATGGGCCCGCCACGCTTCGAAACGTTTCTCGTCTCTGGGGACTGCTCGACCTGAAACCTTGGGACGCCAAAGCAGTTCGGACGGGACGTGCCCACGTTTGTTTTTGAGGCGGGTTCTGTAGTTTGCCCGAGCTGCACGCCTTGGAAAAAACGCACGCTGCCTTGTGCTGTGTATGTTGACTCCGGGCCCGCCGTGAAACGTTGCGAGGGCAGGGGGGTGTTCTCGCCCCGGCATCCCGCACGCGCACCCCGAGGGCAAGAGTCATCAGGTCGCGTTCTACACTGAGCTGGCCGAAGCTTATCCCAGGAATCTGCGCCGCCGCGTCGTACACTGCCTCTCAGAAGCGCAGTTGGCCCAGCAGTATCGCAAGTTGCGTGTGTATCTGCAGTGGCGCGTGCGTGGTTCATAAACAGATATGCGGCCCAGACTCGGCCACGAGACGAATGCTGCAATGCTTTCTGGTAGTGGATCCGTGTGTCAGTGCAGCTCGAAGTAATACTCGTTTTGAGTTCCGTCAGCCTTCGGCTGGCGAGTGACGCTTGTAGCGAGCGATCACCTTTCACACGGAACTTCCGTGGCCCACGTGCGCACGCATGGGAAAGAAAATATTTCGATTTTGAGACAAAGATCTCCGTGACTGTATATGCAGGAATGGGCCGTCCATCTCCATCCTGGCTTAAGTTCCTTGCTTCGCTCCCCCAACAAAAACGTTGACCATTGGGAACCCGCGTGTCAGTGCAGCTCAAATTGACACTCGTTATGAAAATGCTTAACCGTGCGGCAGACGAATCACGATTGTAACGCGCGTCCTCCTCTTCCTCCTCCTCCTCTTCCTCCTCCTCGTCCTCCTCCTCCTCCTCCCCCTCCTCCTCCTCCTCCTCCTCCTCCCCCTCCTCCTCCTCCTCTTCCTCCTCCTCCTCCTCCTCCTCCTCCTCCTCCTCCTCCTCCTCCTCCTCCTCCTCCTTCGTCCCTCTGCAACGTCGCAGCCTTGTGGGATCCCTCGGCCTGGGTCAGGGGCTGCCGCCTTCAAGCCGCGGGGGCGCATACCATCCGAGGAGGTCTGGTCGACGGCGAGCCCAGGGGGGGAATGAAGCGGCGGCGGGCCTCTTCAGAAGGCTCGGAGGGCGCCTTCCCCGAAGACAAAGAAACCTGTTCAAAATGCGCGAGGCCTTCTGGGACACCCCGCCACCTTTCGGGAAGGCCCGCCCCCGCCCCCGCCCCCGCTGGCTCGAGCAAGAGAAGAGAGGAAGAAGAGAGTGAGACAGAGGGAGAAACGAGAGAAGAAACGAGAGGACGAGGGAAGAAACCAGGAAGAGTTCACTTCCCCCCTGGGCTCGCCGCCGGTCTGGTGCCGCACGCCATGGCGGCCTGCGCAGGCGACGCCCGAGGCGCCGCCGCGGCCCGGTGCCCGACGCCGCTCCGGCGCCTCGGCGCGGGCGCGGGCGCCTCCGCGCAGCGCGCGGCCCGCGAGCGGCTCCAGCTGCGGGCGCGCGAGCGGGCGATCTCGGAGGCCGCGGCGTGCCTCGCGGAGGCCGGCGAGCGGCTGCTGCAGGTCGCCGGGGATCTGCACGAACGAGATGGGCACGGAAAGAATGGGTACCATGCTCAACAGCAGTTCCTGTTCATTTTGAACAGGGCTCGCTGTCCGCGCCGCCGCGGCCTGTGTACATTTGAGACAGAAGGCCGCCTGCCCAACAGCGGCCGCTGTTGGTTTGGGACAACATTTGTTGCTGGGCATCGTACCCATTTTTTCGGTACCCATGTCGGGCGTCCAAAGGGGAGCGACCAATGGCATGAGCATAGATGTTCGGAGGTTCGCGCGGGGTTCTTGCACCAGCGCTGGAGCTCCCACAGCGGCGACCCTGGTGCGCTGGGGAGGGGGGTCCAGCGCCGACCCAAAAGCGGATGGGAGGGAGGAGGAGGAGGAGGAGGAGGAGGAGGAGGAGGGAGCAGGAGCAGGAGGAGGAGGAGGAGAAGGAGGAGGAGGAGGGCGAAGGAGGGAGGAGGAAGAGGAGGAGGAGGACGAGGAGGGGCGGGGTGCCGCAAGGAGCGCCGGAGTCGCCAACTTTGCTCATCATGGTCACAGAGATGGTACTGCGACCGTTGCTGTCCAAATGGCGATCTCATGGGAAAGGCTGGTGTCTTGACAGTTTCTGGTTCGGTGCTGTCGCTTTTGCTGACGATATTCTTTTGGTCGCCAAGACCTCATCTGAAGCTCAAGCCATGTTGGCGGAAGTCGTCGAGGCGTTTTCTGCAGCGGGGCTCGACATTGAAGCAGAGAAGACCCACTGGAGTTCTTGGCCGCGGATGCCTGGAGTCTCGTTGAACATGGCGAATGAAGCGATCCCTTGGTCAGAATATATCACTTTCGTTGGGCATGTCATTGACCTCAATGGGAACAGCGGGCAAAGCATTGAGCTTCGAATCCAACAGGCTGACAAGGTGTACTACCGCTGGAAATCGGTCTTCCAGTGCCGGCATGCACACTGAAGGAGGAGAGCAGCTCTGGGTTCGAAAATTATGATGGCAACTGCTCGTTGGCTCGCGGAAGCATGGAATCTCACCAAAGAGCAGCAGCATAATTCCAACAGTTGGGCAGCAATGCGCATGTCAGATATTGCCCCGATCCGCCGCCGCGGTGCTAAAACTATGGGCGTCTTTTGGAGGCGCCTTTACAGGACTGGCCACACCCTCATGGAAGACACAGGTGGCTCTGCAGAACACAGAAGACGCTTGCGTCTACATCGTGTTGCTGGACATTTCGCGCGCATGGGCGGCATCTGCGCAGATGCCGTGCGTGCCCGGTGTCTTGCGTGGTGGAGGTACCGGCAGAGACGGCACCATGATAAAAGATGCGGGGTCCACCCTGCACGTTTCAAAGTCTGGAGATAGGAGTCCCACTTGGCATCATTTTACGGCGAAGTCGAATGTGATGACCCAATCCGCACCGCAGCCGGCTGGAGCAGCGAGCGCAAGACCGCGCTCGATGGAAGCAGGCAGAGAGCGCTTTCGCAGCAGCGTAGAATTCTGACATGTATCAATAAGAGTCACGCGGTCGAGGCTGCTGCGCCGGCAACTCGCCGGGCACGTCATTTTCAGTGGTGGTCCCCACTGGGGCGTTCACACCACCAGAACAGAACAGAACAGCAGGAGGAGGGGGAGGAGGAGGAGGAGAAGGGAGAGAAGGAGAGAGGCGGAAATCGGCGCGGATCTCCGCAAGTTCATGTCGATGTCTTGTTTGGGGTTCCTCGAGATCGGCGGGGCCCACGCGGCCGCGCTCGGCAGCTGCGGCGTGTTGGGCGCCCTCGGCCGCGCCGGGCTGGCGTTCGGCGCGCTGTCTGACGCCCTGGACGGCGGAGCCCTCCTGCCAGGGGCGCGCGGCGACGGGGACGAGCACGACCGGGGGTCCAGGTTCGTCGTCTGGTCGTCTAGTCGTCGTCTAGTCGTCGACCAGTCGTCGTCTAGTCGTCGACTAGTCGTCGTCTCGTCGCGGTCTAGTCGTGGTCTCGTCGTCGGCGTTGGCGTCGGCGTCGTCGTCGTCCCAAGAGAGCCGAGGCTCCCAAAAATTGGAGCGGCTGTTTTTGGAACTATTGTCGGCCTCCGGGGGGCAGAACCAGCCCTTGGGAAGTGGTCCAGACCTCCGGGGGAGCACACCTCGAACAAAATTGGAGCGCCGGATGTCTGGTGATGGGGAAAGGGTACCGAAACCGCTGTCCCTGTCTGGTTCGCGCCTCCCTATGGGGCCTCCCAGGAGGCCCTCGTCATCACGGTTGGATTCGCCCCCAAATCTTGATTCGAACGCACCTCGGGAGAGGTTTAGGGAGCAGCGGCATCGGCGACGGTATTTTCTGTCAGGAATCGAGGGGACGCCCACCTAGACAAGTCGATTGAGGAGATCTGCGTGGATTCATACGACATTGGCATACGAGTGTGCCGGTACGGTCCCCGGCTGGTTTCGCTAATCGACGTGCGGCTCGCCAGATATCGAAGACGCTTACGTACTGCGAATCACCGCCGCCCCCTGCCGTTTGAAATCGCCCATGTGGCCGAGCTTTGTGGCCAGAGCTCTGCCGAGCTATCGGACCATGTGTTCCCCCAACCGTTGTGGAAACCCTTCGGGGAACACTTGGGGGAGGATGGCGGGGAAGATCAGGAGAAGGAGGAGGAGGAGGAGAACAAAGAGGAAGAGGAGAAGGAGGAGGAGGAGGAGGAGGAGGAGGAGGAGGAGGAGGAGGAGGAGGAGGAGGAGGAGAGAGAGAGAGGAGGAGGAGGAGGAGGAGGGAGGAGGAGGAGGAGGAGGAGGAGGAGGAGGAGGAGGAGGGAGGAGGAGGAGGAGGGAGGAAGGGAGGGGGAGGAGGAGGAGGAGGGGGCATCTCGGGAGCCTCTGGGGCACTCTTTGGGGCCTCCTAAGAGCTTACTGGGAGCCTCTCGGAGGCATCTTGGGGGCCTCCTTGGGCCTCTTGGGGCCTCTGGGGGCTTCTCGGGCGCCTCTCTGGCCGTCTCAGGGCATTCCTGGCCCGTCTGACGCCGTCGGAAGCCGTCTGGGCCGACTTGAAACCTTCCTGGGGTGCTCCAGGGCCGTCTTGGAGGCCATCTTGGGCGTTTTGCAGGCCTCTTGGGCCGTCTGGGGGCCCTCTTGGGGCCCTCTCGGGCCGTTATGGGGCCATCCTCGAGGCCTCTTGGGCGATCTGTCGGGTCCCTTGAGCCGTCCTGGGGCGTCTGAAACCCCAAAAGGTGCAAATGACAATCCGACAAACACCTAAGGAAATCAATAATTTTTGTCTTCGCGGGCCTTCCTGGAGGCCCTCTTGGAGGCCTCTTGGGCCGTCTTTTAGGGACCTCTTGGGGGCCTCTTGGGCCGTCCTGGGGCTATCTTGGAGGCCTCTGGGCCGATCTTGGGGCGATCTTTGGAGTCTCTTGGGCAGTCTCGGGCCGTCGGAAAGCCGAAAAGAAGCAATCCGAGAATCCTTCAAAAACCAAAGGGAAATCAATGATTTTGGTCTCTTCGAGTCTTCCTGGAGGTCCTCTTGGAGGCCTCGTGGGCCGTCTTGGAGGCCTCTTGGAGGCCTCTTGGGCCGTCTTGGGCCAGGTTATCTTAGGCCGCCTTGGCTGCATCTTGGGCCGTTTTGGAGGCATCTTGGGGCCTGCTTAGCCGTCTTGGAGGCCATCTTGGAGGCATCTTGGAGGCCATCTTGGGCCATCTTGGCGGTCTTGAAAGCTATATTGAGCCGTCTTGGGAAAAAGATTCGGCACATCGGGCGCGTTCTGGTCCCTTCCCGGTGGCTGGCGGACTGGGCCGGAGCCCCAAGGGAGATTTGTTTGAAAAAGAACCCAAACCGAAAACGGTAGGGTCTAGCACGCCAGACACCCCTGTGGCAAGCCAACAGGGGGCGGCGGATCTCATGACCTTCGGCCCACCCCGCCACCGTGCCAGGATGTTGGGTCAGAGAGTCCTCAGGGATGCTTATTGGGATCTCTTCGGAGCACCCTCGAGAGCCTCTTGGGGGCAGTTTTAGGGCATCTTGGGGTCTTCTTGGGGGCCTCTTGGGAGCCTTTTGGGGACCTCTTGGGGTTTCCTGGGGGCCTCTTGGCGGCCTCTTAGGGGCCTCGCGGGGCATCCAGGGGGCCTCGCGGGGTAAAAGTGTCCGTTCGGTTTTGTTGTCGGGGCCACCTCTTGGAGCCATCTTGGAGGCCTCCTGGGCCGTCATGGAGGACTCTTGGGCTTTTTAGGACGCCTTGCATCGGGAAGCAAATAAAGGCGAGAGTGCCCAAATCTGTCAAAAACTGTAGGACAATCTATGATGTGTGCCTCTTAGGGCCTTCTTGGGGACGGCTCTTGGAGGCCTCTCAGGACGTCGCGGACGCTTTTTCGACCGACTGGAGACCCGATTGGGAGTCTTGGACCGATCGTGCGGCGATTCGGGGCCCTCTTGGACCTTCTTGGGGGGCCTCCTGGGGCCCTCTTGGCCCGTCATGGGGCCCTTTGGTCCCGAAGGAGGCATGCGAGAAGACGCCCCACTCTAAACAAGGTTTAAGGAGAAGCTGTATAGCGAACGCTGTATCCGACGCTGCCTTGGCTCAAGGCAGCGCTGTCCTATTTGCCAGTTACACAGCTGTGTGACTCTATCTGCGAGCAACGGGCAAAGGCCACGTCCCTCTATTATCCATATACCGGTCCCATGGTTTCTCTCTTACCTGTCGTCTTGTTTGCCATCCAGGGATGAGTTGTAGGATACCTCGGTACGTCGCCGACGTTATCCTAAGAGTAGGGTTCCCGGCTTATTACCTCATGGTCAAACCCTGTACCCTTACCTTTTCACTTGGTAGCGGGGCTGGCTACATCTTCATGTGGCTGGCTCCTACATCAGGTGTTATGCACATAACAACTCACAACGGCAAAGAGGAGTACCCGACTGCGCCAGCTCTCAAACACAAAATTTCCAATATCATCGAACCATTCGGTAATTCTTACAGCCCTACACCCCCATCTCCCCACCGCGTGGCCACACGCCACGCACGACCCGAGCACCGATACCTATACGCAAGCTGACGGCCACGCCAGACCAGACACCCAGTCGCGACTCTGTGGGCGCGACAACATCCAATTATACGCAACCGAACATCATCAGCTACAACATGACCATGCACTACGTGAAGGTCCCGATCTTTGGAACTGTCTGGGTGTGCCTGGGCCTTGCCGTGGCATGCGCGCTAGGAGGACTTGATGAAACACTCGGGGTTCCTTTTCGGACCCCGCAGGTAGCGCGCCTTTCCGCGACTTTGTTCGCGCAGTACATGCATGGCCAAACGTCGCGAGCGGAAGTATGACCCCACCCCCACAGGTAGCTGCTTTACAGAGCGGCCCAGGGGGATTGGTTTGGACACTATCCATGAGGGCGCCGTCCACCATCATCAATCACGATGTCACACTGCAGGGGAGACGCACCGATGGAGTCACATACATCATGTACCTACTAAGCACCAAATTTGGAAACCTGGAAGACGAGCGACAGTTCACCTCAGGGACAACCCTCATCGACTTCAGAGTCGAAAGAGGCGAGCGCATCGACTCAGTACTGGCCCGATTCGAGATTGCCAGACGGGAAGCAGACTCACCAGGCTTCAACATACCGAACTTACAGATCCTTGCCCTGGTATTATTTCGCGCCTCGGGCGAAAGCACGACCATCTCCTGGAGCGAATGCGCAGCCATGGACGCTTGGCTGAGCGCCCCCCACATCGGGAGCATCTTCAGCGGACGCAGCGCCGCCACTTACCACGCCGAAATAAGCGACGCACCGGCAGCCATACCGAACAGCATTTGACACGATGGGGAGCCCACTGTGTCCACGACGCGCCTAGGCCAAGACGCCCACAATAACAATGCACAGGCGTCTGGCTCAAACATGGGTTGGCCGTCAGCGGCCAGCTACAAGCCACCCGATGCGACTACCCTCCGGGGCTCACCCAGCCAACAAGACGACGCAATCAAAATTCGGGCATGTCCCTCTACAGGATGACGATTGAGAAATAATGGAAATAGCATTGCGCAGATGTTTCATGCCATGTTCGAAATACACCAAACATGGTCTGGAAATAATTTTCTTGATACTGGCAAGGCGAACGCACGATGAACTGGGCCGGCAAACTCGACGCGCCGCGCGGCACCTCCATTTTTTGTTTCGCCGCGCTCATTAACGGCAGCGCGCGTCATCGATGTTTAGCAAAGGCGCGAGTCTATGGCGACGCGGCTCGCGCGACGCGCGCAATGAAGGTCGACCGCGCAATGCCGTGGTGGACTGGGCGGCGCGTCGCTTCGATTCGATCTTGCGCGCGGCGTGGACAATTCGGCGGGTGCCCTTTGGGCAGCCGACAGGGGCCCCGCAGAGTTCGATCCTTGTTTTTCTTTCCATTTTGTTACGCGCGTCCGCGGAATCCGCCAGATCAGTCATTGCGGCCGCTGGCAGTCAAGTTCTCGCTGCAAGACCCCAGTCCCACCCCCGCTTCACACCCTCGCTCCCGCGCGCCATCAGTGCGCATCCTCCCCGCCCTGCCCCCTCTCAATGGGAGTGGCGCGCATGGGCCGGCGCTCCCCGCCCTCGGGGTATATTGCGCGAGGGGCAATCATGACCGGACAAAGCATAACCCCGTTGATGCCATCATCGAGTATATATGAGTGAAGTAAGAGTTGGGGTGGAGCACGACAGGAGTGAACTGGGGGTTGCCCGCGAGTCAGGTTGATTGCAATTGGGCGCAGGGTAAGGTTAGGGCCGGCTCCGAGTAGGGCAGAGTTTGAGCCGGCATAGACACGCCACGTAAACAACCGCCAGTTCTTATCAGCAGAGAAGAGGAGGCTTGCGCGTGCCGTTGTGGTGAAGTAGAATAGATACCAGTACAATTAGGCGCGCGAT